GGAGTCGTCAACTTTTTCATTTCACGACGCAGCAAACGAAGGAGACAAAATAACGGATAAAAGCGTCCATGTGAGTAATCGAGAGCAACAGATAACACCGGAGAAAAAAAAAGTTAGTTTCCCACAGTTGTGAAAATTTCCAATAAAGGCGTACAAATTGCCACGGCGGGCAATTAAAAAAACGCGTGGCCTGTCGGAAATAATGGGGAAAGAGAGGAACGAGAGTCACAAGTGACACAATAAACGCAACAACGGAGTTCCTCAAGAGCGTGCCAGCCACCGTGTGCATGCGAGCGCGATTGTATGCGCGGTCATACACACGTGTTTGTGATACGGAGAGCGGCAACGACGCAGAAAATAATCCGAAAGGTTGCGCGTGACCCCGTAAAAGCGTTCGGGTTCGTGTTTATAGTGCGCACGGCCAAGTGGATCACCATGTATCCCACTACACACGTGAAAGTCCATCTGGAGCTCACGAGCCTCGAGCATTTACGTCTGCTCGTCGAATGTGGGGGGGGGGGGGGGGGGACGACCTTTTCTCTCTCGTCCCGCTACAATTTTAGCGATGGCTTTTCTTTTTCTTTCTTTCTCCTTTTTTGTTTTATTAAGCTTTATTTTTTCTCTTTTTTGTCTTTTGTTTTTTGTTTTTTTGTTTTTTTGTTTTTGTCACGCGAAGGCGAGGCGTTGCCAAAAAACCATTCAGCGGTAAGTTTTTGCTACGTGATGAATGAGGAGGAGTTGATGTATTTTGAGACGACGGGCTTAATTCAAGGAATAACAAAGGGCTTTCCTTTACAGGTAGGAAATTAAAGAGAATAATACGATAACATCTGTTGTGTGGGGGGGGGGGATGAAGCTTGTCATGTACCAAGTAGCGCATGGAACGCTATTCGAGTCTGTGACTTTGCTATTCGTAAAACAACGACAAGTGTAAAAGGTGATTACGTTTTATTACTACATTTCGTAAATGAAAATCATCCTTTTGCATTGTGATGATGTATCGCGCTACCTCTGGTATCTCTCTCTCTCTCTCTCTCTCTCTCTCTCTCTCTCTCTCTCTCTCCCCACTCTCCTTCTCTGCTCGAGCCACATTCAAGCACACCTTTACTCTGTCTGAAAACTCCTCTTGTTCTAACTTTTATATGCAAATGTTATCTTTTGCTCTAGACTCAACAGCTGCCACGAGTAACAGCTGTAAACATGTGCAGCCAAAGTCTTGATTTTTCTCTCGAAGTTAAATTTACTGCCGTGATTATCAAAATCTCGTGCTTCGGACTACGCAGGTGATAGCATATTTAATTATTTTAATTTGCAAAATGTAACCGCACTATCCTTTAGACTTAGGTTCTTAAACGCATATGTAATGCCATTGAGTCTTGGCGACCGAATAAGCGCTAAGTATATTAAATTAAGAAATAGTTGAATTTACATAAATTTTCCATTTACTTGCGCGAAATCTTCAATGAAATATCAAATTTATATTTTCATCGTGTGTATGAAAGCTCTTAGGAAAAATTACAAATTTATACAAAATATTAGGCTAAAAAGTGATGAAAAAGTGAAGCAGATAATATTAAAATATTCAATTAAAGTCGCGGCAATATTAAATTCATTTATCGGAATTAGCAAGTCAATTGAATGATTGTGTAAAGAAAATATCATTCAATTTTTTAAAGAGCTGATTAAGAAAATATAATGTTCGGTTATCGACGCGTAACAAAATTTTATGCTTTTAGTTAAAAGCAATATATTGCAAAGCCTTAATCAACACGATCATTACAAAAGCTTTATAAAAGCATTTTATGTAAGGCAAACGTAATCATTTTAACTATTACGTCCAATCTCTCAACTTGTCAAAGCAATAATTTCTAATGTAAAAATATCGTACTTAAGATAAAGCTGAAATTTCGAGTCCTCTTGCCGCTCGTTTTGCTTTCATTTAAAAGAAAAATTAGAATAACGAAAAAAAAAACAACAACAACAACAACAACAACAAATCAAAACGAAAGAAAGAAAGAAAGAAAGAAAAAGACTCTATATTACATATATTAGTTATCGGGAAACTTGAGATAATCAAAAAGGAAAAAAAAAAAAAAAAAAAAGAAAAAAAATAAGCATTTTCGACGTCCAATTAATTTCTAACTACAAGAGTGTCGGCAGGCAGGTGTATATTGGCCAGTTTCGTTTGTAGCTTTTTAGGATACTCGGGAATGTATTATGAAAACATCTGCGATAAGTAAGGTGCATTCTCATACATATAAATGGGTTGAAGGGAGCGCAATGTAAAGCAACGACACCAACAGTTGCAAAAGCTGCGTGCAAGTTTTAGCGAAAGAGGTAGAAAGAAGTCAAAAGTCAAAGAAGCAAGGAGAGGCTGAGAGAAAAAGGAATAGACGGAGCAGTTGCATTTCTAAGTGTACTTGCATCAGAATGTCAAAGCGAGTGAGCCGGTTAACCTGCGCATGTATGAATCGCAATTCGGCAAAAGAAATTACGGTACTACAACTAAGCTAATTTGTCATTCAATGGTAATAAAAGAGTGAAATCTTATGGATGAGAATGTAATTGTTTACACTCAGTTTAATTACATTAAGTTCTAACATCAAGTCGCTCAAAAATCTTGCCTTAAACGACAGTTAATTTATCAACTGAAAACCCCGGGTAAAAAGTATATTTTCACAATTGAAAAGATTAGAAAGTGCGCGCATTAGAGTAACCGCATTCAAAGTCAAGTAAAAGATTTTCGCGATAAGAAGCGAAGTGGAAAGGAAGTAGCGACGAATTCGGCTAGGAAAAATAAGAGAGAGAGAGAGAGAGAGAGAGAGAGAGAGAGAGAGAGACATGTAGACAAGTAATGTGGACCAATGGAAAAGCCAAAATAATTTCATTACTTTGTGTCGTACGTCAAAAAGGAACTTACCATTGTTGCTAAGAATATTATTAAGTGCTTGTATTGTCATACTTTCCATCTTGTATAATGAAGTACAAGAGTGAATAAACAAAGTTACTTAACGCATAAAGTATGATTGATGAGTGGCTCTACCAAACAAAGTCCCGCGGTGTTTTTGATTGGACTTTGAAATTGCTGTTTGTGATATTGATTTAGTGGCAAGTCGAAACGTCATTTATTTGTTTCCTCTGGCAAACTTTTCAAATAGTTTTCAACCAGCACGTCTTATGCATTGGCTTTTTATTAACTGATATATACTTTTCAAACGACGGTTTTCACATTATAAATGCGAGTGAAATACTGCATGATTATGATTATTGTGATTATGATTGTTATTATAATTATTGATATTTTCATTTATTCTTAATATTTTTCATTAAAATTGATTATTATTGTTATTCGTAGCTATTGAATTCATAACTATTGATTATGATACGTAAAAGTCACGAGAAGAAGTTATAAATCATATATTCCTTTGATTCTTTGACGAGTGTTCAAAGAGAATATTGAATTTTCAGCGAAATGCAAGGAAAAAAGTAGTTTACGAAATAGGTGTCAATCATGTAAATTAAATGCATTATTGAATGTGTATAATTTTGTATGTTAATATAATATACGAAATTAATGAATATTTTAGTAACCATGTGAATACGCGGGCGAGTGTATTCGCGTATTCGTGTAACTAACTGTATCGAGCGAAAAAGGGGAGATAAATAGAATTTCCACGTAAATTTGTGTCCAAGTAAGTGCCGATGATAGATCATGAGCGAGGAAAGCGGCAAAGTAATAAAAGTAGTGAATTACTTACCGGGTAGTTTTCATTTATTTAGCCATGTAAAATGAAACGCGTGGCACGAAAGTCACGTAGAGGCTGAAAAATGTTAATAGATAAATTTCTTTATATATCAAAGTCATTATAATACTCGACAATTCCAAAGCTACATTCGAGCTCGTTTTCTTCAAACATTTTTATTCGATGAGCCCAAGATGTAGTAAGAGCGCGCAAGGCTATTTGTACATGTTTCACGATAATTTGTCGATAAGTCAAAGTGGAAAAAAGAAAAAAAAACAACAAAAAGAGAAAAGACGAAATAAGATGGTCCATTATTGCGGGACGGCAGGGTTACATCGAGACAAACGAAAATTAATACGGGGAAATCCGTAGGAGCACCGCCGCCGGCCCAGCCTCTCGCCAAGGATTCGGTTCACTGCCTCGATCGACGAAAGCCGATGTATAATTTATGAATACAATAGTGCTGGCAATGGTCGATCCGTCGCGCTCCTCGTCCTCGCGTCCCTCACACTGACGAGAAAAAAAAACAAAAAAAAAAAACAAAAAAAAAAACAAAAAGAAAAACAAAAAAAAAACAAAAACAAAAACAAAAACAAAAACAAAAAATACCCGGCTGACAGTATGGCCGCGACGTTAGATCGCAGTGGTCCATCTCTCGTCGGAGGCTCGGCACTGTCCGGAGGAGACGCGTCGTCGCTCTCGAAGTGCGAGGCCGCGACTCACGTGAAGAGAAAGAAAGCCGAGGGAGAAAGAGGCTCGCGCTCTTTCGTGGTGGTGGTGGGTGGTCGGGGGAGAGAGAGAGAGAGAGAGAGAGAGAGAGAGAGAGAGACATCTTAGCCGATCGGGGCCCGGGACTGGCGGCCAGCGACTTCAGTCAGTCAAGCCGCGAGTCTCGAGTGTTGCCAGTCGTTCCCGAGAGCGAAATAAGTGCGGCGAAGGAAGGAGGCGTTCGCGCGCTTCGGCACCGGCCTCCCGGACATGTGACGATGGGACCGACTGGGCCCTTGACGTTTACTCCATTAGTACCAGCTGCCGTTCGAGACGCTACTGCCTGGCCCTTCGAGGGTGAGTGCGAGAGCCGTGCGATCTCTATCCTCCGTTATATGGGATGGGACACCTGCGTCCATGCAAGCGTACCTCCGACCTGAGCTTTCTCGATCCCTAGGCGATGGTCGGCCCGTGCCGCTCCAAATTCACTCCGAGATTTAGGATCGCAGCGTCAAGCTGGAATTATAGTCGAGGCTGTCGAGGAATTGGTCGTTGAGAAAGAATTTTTTTAATGTGCCGTGCTATTTACGTGCTCTCGGGTTAATATAGCCAGCGGTAATCAAATTTTTATCAATTTCGTGTTACAGTTTCCTAATATTTTATGGAACAAATGTAGGCATTGTTGAGTTAATCGTGAATGATATTAAATCTTTTTCGTGCGGTTTAATATGCTACCTGCATTACCTTTCCATCAATAAGCAAATATTTCTTTTATAAGTGTTGGATTAAGTATCCGCAGCTACTTTTTTTTTCTTCTTCTTTTCTGTTCTATTATAACCAACGAATTTTTTTTTTTTTTTTTTTGATTATTTAACACTATTGCGGTCAAACGTTTGGTAATTCTCATAGGCTAATTCTCGTATATCTATTATTTTTAATTTTTAATGATATTAATCATATTAATTACTGGTATTACTAATTTTACTACCTATTATTATATCGAACTCAGTAATTATCGTCTTTCTAATTTATAGAATAATTAATGAAAATAAAGTATTTGATATATGGATTTGAGAGAAACTTAAAAAAAAAAAAAAAAAGAAACAAAAGGCCGTGCATTCATACGAGCTACTACACTTTTATCTAAATTAATAAATAATATTTTTGAATGTATCGTTACCATACGTATATTAATATTTCGTAAAATTTTTAATCACAGATTTCCTTCTTATTATTATTTTAAGCCACTATGCACCGATAAAGTAATATTATTATTCTTTTTGAATCATTGTATATGTGGACAAAATTAATATAATGCAAACAATATTATGAGATTCGCATAATACTACAGCCCAATTAAATAATTAAGGCGAAAACAAAGTATAAAATGTTACATCTTACGTATTACTAAATCATTATATATAAATGGAGTCGAAAATTTATCTTCTATAATCATTTATTAAAATTTTGACACGCTTTAGGCTAGAAATTAATAATTCTTTTAATTAGCATCTGCAATTGTAAAATTTCATATTTTGTATTTATGTATTAAAATATTGGCTTCATAGAGCATCATTTAATATTTTCTCATTAACAAAAATGAAAAATTTGATTTGTTTAATTATAAAAGTCATTGATTTCAGTTTGTAAAATTCATTTGTAGATCGGAATATGTAAAATGTTATGACTCTTAAGCTAAAAAAAAAAAGATTGCATTACTTGGAAATTCATTATTAATAACATTAATAACTTCAAATCAATGTATATTTAAATTCAAATTTATGTTTTTAAATTAAAAAAACTTCTTAATACTTGTGCATTCAAAGCGTTTATATCCTGGTAAATAATTTATCCAAAAGTTTAAATTATAAATCGTTTATATGGCTAAGAAAATAAAGAAAATATGAGTTTCAGTAAGCATTAATAGTGTACTAAGAATATAATTGTCTTAATATTTTGTTAACATCGTTGCATATAATCAAATCTATAATATTGCTTTGCTTTCACATTCTACAGCATTATGAATGAAATTTTTTAAAATGGATTGTTGTTCAAAAGTTATTATTATTACAATAAGTTGAATTTTTTTTTATAAGAAATATATATTTTTCCATATAAATTTTATACCATTATTTAATTTTTTAATAATTTATCAGTTAAATTAAAATAAAATTTTGAATTATATCTTTGAAATATTATATTGTAGGTTTATTTGTATAAAAAGTCAGAAACTAATTGTTTGATTAATTAAAATGTATAATAATTTTTTAACATGAAATTTCATACTTATTTATCATATATATATATGCACATCAGTGTATGTAACTGTTCAATAATACTGTATGAAGAATTCATAATTTAATCATAAAAATACACTTGAAATTTATGCATATTTAATGAAAATATATAAAATTTAATATGTTTTAGCATACCTAATTATATTAAAAAATATTTATTTGATATTACATTTATTACTTTGTGTAAGATATTGTTTTATTCGATATTGATTTTTTATATATATGTGTATTCATAATTCCGGAAAAAGATTGTTAGAATAAAAAAATATATACTGTATTGTAAAATTATTTATCGTTTTTGTTCATGTGCATATAAAGTTGAGTAAATGCGTAAACATTATTTATACATTTGATTTAATTAATTTATACTCAATAATTATAATTTTATTTCATTCGGCTCAGCCTTAATTGGAATATATAATGTCTTTGAAATTGCTTGAGCTTACCTTTAAAAAGTATATTAGCGTTATTTATATGTGTGCGTAGCGCGTTAGAGTGAAAGAGAGAGAGAGAGAGAGAGAGAGAGAGAGAGAGAGAGACGAGACGAGACAGTAAGAGAAATAGAAATTAACATTTCTACTGAAAAGAATTAACGTTATATTCTGTTAAGTTTTCAAATTATTCTTCAGGTTAATATTAGAGAAAGAAAGATTATCTTAATATCAATCGATTCAATGCTTTTCATCTTCTAATATTTCTATTAAGATCATGCGTACTGATCATCCATTCCTTATTCCCGCTATATCTTCACTTATTTTAATAAGCACAATTAAATCTATCATACGGCATTGTCTTCTGTATAAAATTTCGATATCTCATTGTTATCTAATTTTCTAAAAATTTCCGCCCATTGTCGATTCATTTTACTCAACACACTGTATCAAATATTTTAGAGAATATTTTTTCTTTTTTTTTGCATCTTAGTTTGCAAGCATTCCTAACTCGCATTAGAACGGGATTATCGATAACATCGCTGCTTTATTAAATCAAGTTTTAATATTACAAGACAATAACGGGAATCTTAATGCTTCTTTAGCAAAGTTAAAAACTTGTATTTTCAATCATCATCATTTTAGTTCGCTGATTCATTTTCTATCTACCATTTATTGATATAAATAGACATTTATTAAGTCACACAGCCATATTACCGAATAATGCTGCAAAATTTTTATGTTAACATAGTGAAAGTACGGTTACTTTTTCATCCCCTAGTATATGCAAGAACGTTCAATGACAATTTTTTTATTATCCCAAAGGAAATTGACCGGACTTGGAACATTCACGCGTGCTAACAGTTAAATTACTGCATTACTTTAAAGTAATCCATTCTCACACCCCTATGCGCGACCAATAATTTATTAAAAAATTGAAGAACATAATAGAGGCAATGTGACGTCGTTTGAATGTGCAGTAATTCTGGAACGATTCCCGACACATTCTGTCACAATTAAAATGCTAAAGAACAGTCCTCTATCATTATCACGGAATTTTTTGGACGTATTTTTACATTAACTGTGCTTCGGTATAATTTAGTCTTCGGAAAAGCTTGTATGTACATGTGTATTAGAAAGTCTGTAAGTGGCTGATATATTTCGTGGGTAAAATAAATTGATACGTATTACAAAGGGAGAAAGGCTTATACTCTTTCGATACAAACTCTCTTATGTATATTATTAGTTTCGAGAAATGTTTTATAGATGCTAACAGAAGTTGAATGTACAAACAGTAATAGCATAATATTTTTTTCAACACTCAACTCATCATCTCCACTATTAAGAATGACAATATGCAATATCGCGTAGTAGTTGCAATTATCATAAAATAAAAATACCGCGACTAGCCGAGCCAATGGAGCCAAATCACTTCCCTTAATTTCTCTCTCTCTCTCTCTCTCTCTCTCTCTCTCTCTCTCTCTCTCTTTCTCTCTCTCTTTCTCCCTTTCTGTCTCTATCTCGTCAATTTAACATCCACACTTTGTAGAGCTCGAGACCAATTAAAGCCGTGATTTCACTACTCCCGATCGTTCCGCAGAAATCTCGCGCAATTTTCCATTCAACGTCGCTCGTCGAGTTCTCGCCAGCTTTCTCCTAAAGATGTCGGTGACCGCGACGCATCCGAGGTCTCTCAAGGAATTCATTTGGTTCGTTAACAGACTGAAGCGAACTCGAATTCTTCTCCGCCGAAAATCCAACCCATTTAGCCGGGTTTCAGATTGTCGATTCCTTCAACCATCCCATTATTTTTTCTTTTTTTCCATTTTTCGTTTATGTCTTTTTATCAGTCTTGGGCATATTTCCAATTTCATTATGCTATTATTTTGTGGATGACGGCAGAACGTGCAATTAAAAGACAAAAGTGCTAGACATTTATTTCTTAATAATGAAGCCATTATTAGTCTGTTTACGAGATATTTACTCGAAGGTTTAGAGTTTCTATTTGATTGGCTGTGAATGCGAATGTGATAGCTACTTTTACAATGACCGAATTAATCAGCTAAATTATGTAACTAATTTTTATACAGTTTCCTATCCAAATATATATATATATATATATATATATATATATATATATATTTTTTTTTTTTAGAAAAATCAGCAGATAATGAAAAAAGAGTTTTTATAATTTCAAGCTCTGGTTAGTTTAAATTGAAATTAAACTTCTTACCACTTTTTATGACCACTTTTTATTCATTTTAAGATTTTATAATGATTAAAGTACCCCTAATCATATAAATTATTTAATTACTCGTCTTTTTTATTAATTATTGTTAGTCGGTAATACGGAAAGAAATGTGAGATGTTTGACTGTAACTTAATATTACTCCTGCTTCATTGCCTAGGAATAATTCATAACTGTTCAAGGACAATTCAAGATACTTCTTAAATGGTTTTGTCAATGTACAAACGAATTATCGGCTGATTTGTAAGAGTCAGGACTAATTGTATTCAGTTTCGTGATTTACGCCAAGTTCGCATTAAAAATTTACACGTACAATGGGTAACTAATGAGGTATTAAGTTTCTCGACAAGCGCGTATTATACCAATCTCGTCTCAAATATCGGATTCTTAATAGAAATCTCAATGAGCAGAAGCTTATTACTGTAATTGACACATAGCTTTGTTAAAGCAGTTTTCGACAAGCGAGTTCGTTAAAACAATAGTCGAATAATAAATTTATACGGCAATTTACCGAAGCTCACGATAACAGTGAATTAATTCGTTGTATTGTGCAAGTTAAAGGAGCAGATGATTCTGAAACTTCGTGTAAACGAGTGGGCAAGGTGAAAGCGGTGCTTGTTAACGTAATTATAACACTAGATAACAATGGTGAAAGAATAAGGAAAACAATGATAATAATATGCATTAAATTGGGTACAGATCTTTAATAAATAGTATAAGTAGAGTTGATTAAAGAAATTCTTCTTCGCCGAAAATAACGCTACCGCAATATTAACGTAAATATTCTTAAAATATAACCACATTGAATTCCCATTCAATGTTATCTGAATTTGATTACTCTTTTTTTCTTTATATAGATTGTATAGATTTTTTTTTGTCCAATAGAATGCGTCGAATGAGAAAGAACAGTTTAGTCATTTGTACATCATAAAAGTTGCCCAAGGGCAACTTAAGCGTACACGCGCACGGCTAGCCAATGTTTTTCAAAAACCGAGCGAAGAAGGAGAACATGAAAAGGATAAAGAATAAATCCTTGTTAAAATATAATAGCCAATGTAACGAATTAATCGTCGCGTCGCTTTTTAAACTACGCGCCCAAAAAGTGCCGTTGGGCACTCATCGTTGTCAGGCTCGCTCATTAAAATCCTCCTTTCTCAGACAAAAGAAATTGACCGCGGAACAAAAGATCTCGGATCTAAATCTACGAACAAGAGAGAAAAATCATGCCATCGCTCTATTAATTGTTCGTCTCTTTCTTTTTCACAGCCTTGCCCAGAAAAACCACAAAAGTACCCAAGCTATCCAAGTATGCGATCGGCTCTTTGACAAATTGACCGGACGGAAAATAGAGACTTTTAACCAGGTTATCGCGCGCGAAAAAGTTATTACAGTATTGAAGTCCGATTTTTGGGGATTCGCTGATTCGCTTACCGATTACTTTATTGCGGCATCGTTCGCGCCTGCTCTTTTAATCTATGGAAAAAAACATGAGCTTCAACCAAGTGAGCGAGAATCGCATCGGCTTTTGTGAGTGGTGAATTAAAAAAAGAGAAGTAGAAGCAAAAAGAGGAAGAATAAGCAGAGGGAGGGAGAGAGAGAGAGAGAGAGAGAGAGAGAGAGAGAGAAGAGGGATTTATTTGATAAATACAAAAAGTGGAGACCAACGGAACGTGATATCATGGTGGCTATGGAGCACAAGAGGAAGCCATCCTGGGATTCCAAGGTTAGTTTTAATTTTTCGTTCATTTCGTTTTATCCACTTGATACGATAATGTAAGAAAAAAATAATCATTCCGTTACATATAGATCCACGATAATAACGAGCACGTCCTTTTTTTTTTTTTTTTTTTTTTTTTTATTTTCACATGCTTGTTTTTAACCAAAATTTAGATAACTTTTATTACAGGTAAGCCGATAGATGTACGAATGCGCTAATTGCCAAGTCGTATTTTTTTAAAATAAAAAATAATTATTGGAAGACACGTAGTAAAATGTAAAGACAAATAGATTTTTTTTTCTGAATTGACTTTTTTCAGAAAAATTCTATTCTCTTCGTCTTTAACAAAATCAGAATAATTATTTTCGATACAAGGAATCATAATAAATTACGGAAAAAAGATGAGAGAAACGATAGGCATTATTGCGTAAGCCTTTGTGACGAATTTAATTCGACAGAAAATCGAGTAAAAGTGTACGGCTGTAAAAGTAATTGCTGATAAAGGTGAACATTTTATGTTTTTAAGTAAATTCTTATGCAAATATCTCCCCAATGCTCCTTGTATATTTGAATACAAATATTTGCACTGAAAACAGCTTTTAATTCATCTGTATTCAGCATTCTAACGAAAACATGTTAATGTTCATCTTATCTACAATGTTTCATTTAAATCTACAATGGAATTCAAATTCTTTCAATGATTAATCATTTGCACAGGAATTGAGTAAAATTAAAATTAATATTTTCAAAGTTATTATGCTGAAGATTATGGAACAGATAGGGTGAAATAATTCTGTATAAGATTATCGATCTTCTATCATTGTAAATAGACGGAGAGGGGGCTTTAAGAAGAGAAACCGAGGATTTTGAAATTTAGATGAATGGGATTGTACGAACATGACCTGATTTCAGCTTGACCTTACGTACTAAGCTTCGTATATAATTGTTTACTAGATCTTATTCCTATGGCAAAATAATTTATTATAATATAATACAAAACATTTTATTTATAATATCATGCGGTACTACGAGTTTGTATGTTTGATTTTATAACGAAAGGAGCTTAACCACCACATTCTTACGTTTTGTCATAAATATAACAGACATATTCAGGAACTTCAACTCATTAAATGGGATTGTTTGACCGATTTCCTTCATATTTTTACTCCGAAACTTGAGATGCGATTCTTTGAATCGGCGATTTATTCCAAATTCAAGTAGTAAATTGTGAATATAGATGAGACTCTGTATTATCCTGAAAAAGTAGCTATAATATTTACTGATGAATGTCTTAAATGAAAGTACTAGTTGACTAAAAATTTTCATTTAAATAACCAAGAGATATTAAATTTTCGAAGACTAACTAAGATGTTATTGTCGATTTTAAATTGTCTCAATGAAAAAATGTGCATCTTAATTAAGAGATTAAAAGATTCAAGTCCAATATTCCTTATTATTTAATTTATTAAATAAAATATGTATGTATACGTTCGAATCTAACTTTTATAATAAAAATTCCTTTGTGTTTCAATATTTCAAGGCGATTAAATCAATTATTATAAAAGTATTGATAACAAAATGCAAGCTGATGGTCCTTTGAAATACATATCAAGATATTAATACAAACCCTAAAGAAAATAATAAAATAATATTTTTCTTTTCATTAGATAACTCATTATTGAAGCTCGATATAATAGCGTTTCGAGATATATATATATATTTTTTTTTATATTCTAATCGTAAAAAAAACAATGACTTACAATTTTAATAGTACTGAAACGTTAAAAAAAATAACTCTTGTATTTTACAGCTTATAAAACCTTGTAAAATTTTATCTAAAACTCTTTTACATTTAAAATTTTTTATTTTATTACGATCTGATATCAAAATTTATTTTTCATAGCATACTATTAACACAGCGATAATTATAATTAAATTCAAGCTTATTAATATTACCATGTATTTGCTAATAAAACGATAGGATATTTTGCAATTTATTATTATGAATTTTGCTCTGCATATATTAAGTATTTGTAATTTAACTTTAACCGACGCTAATAAACTTATCTTATAATATCAAGATCACATTACCGTTTAGAATTATGTATGAAATCCTCAATTGTAATTTAAGATAAAGATATTAGAGAAAAGTCAGATTAGAAATTTAGCTCATTAATGTCAGGAAAAAGTTAAAGCAATCGGTACGTCTTATTACATTCAATAACTAATGAGTTTCAAATTGTAATCTTGGTAGTTTTTTCAGTCACTTGATAACTTGAATTCCAGGTAGCTGTTTCAAGCGATATTTTTTTATTCGTTTTATTTCTTTTTTTTTTTTCTTTTTTTTTTCTTTTTTTTCGCATTATTGACCAATGGACGACATGATTGGGTGGCAGAATTTCCCATCTGTCAAAATGCATCATTCTACGGGAAAAATGATTTTGCTTAAAAAAATTACTCGTTTAACATACCCATCTCTGTAAATCCATTTCGCAAAAGATTCTTTCGCGCTATTTTTTGCGTATTACGAAAAATTTTGCGTTAATTTTTATTTAATTTTTGTAGTGATTTTGCAAATCTTCTACTTACACATTTGCATACATTCGCTAAAATTATCATAATACCCTCAGGGTGACATATAATATAAACTGTAACGGCTGCTGTATTATACGAGTTTCGAATGACTGGTCGCCTTAATTACATGAAACATGTTAATCAGAAAAAGCGTCCGATGAAAGAACTAAACTCGTATTTCCAAAATAATCAATGTTTTGCTCAATCGGACGTTAAAAATGGAATTTTCAAGGAAATATCTGGAATATTGTAGGCTACGAACTGCTACTATGTCATATGAAAGCCCGTCCATTTCAATTTGATAAATTTACGATAACCAGACAGCATTTCCATAATGTATCAAAAAAAAAATTTTAAAAATTTCCTGTAAAGCCAAGCATTGACCCTTTATCCTACTTAAAAAAAGCCCGGCGCTACGAGTCTCCAACATCTCGACACGCGGTCACTAGTTACTACTTTCACCGACAATACTCTCGCTCGATTTTCATACCTTCGACTTCCTCCTCCTCCTCCTCCACCTCCCCCCTCCCCCTCTCACCGTCCATCCAATCACCTCTCTGACCTCCTTTTGCACGCGGATGTCTTCTCATCAATTGATGTACTCAATGAGACTCCACGGAGATCCTTGCACACCATCCTTGTGGCCGAGATAAATACTGTGTTGAAGCGGAGTCTGACGGATGTTTGTTTACCAACTTTAATTTTATTAAATTTACATGCTCAATACTTGAGGAATTTCAGTGCTAAAATTTTCCATTACGACAGAACCTTCCGACCTTTTAGTTTGAATTACGCGGGATTGTCGAAGCATCGGCCGAGAAGTTCGAGATCTATCGCGTGTTACATGAATATTAGTTTTTGAAATTGAGCGATACTTTTCCTATCATTAGCACGGAATTTCACTTTGAAAGTGCGGATTTACACTAGAAGGAGAAAAAAAAAACTGTCTAAAACGCATGAGAAATGGCAAAATCTATATATAAATGGTAAAAACAGCTCTGCTCGATCTTTACTACAACACGAATTAAGTGGACTTTCATATTTGAATGAATCTACGATCAAATATAATTTCAAGCTACTTTTACTAATAAATCCAATTTATTCCAATATCGTCATTTTATTTGCGAATATTATGATAATTATGTAGTCAACTAGGTTGTCAATATTTATCTCCAATAAAATTCTTTGCTGTCTTTCAAATTCAGTGGATTGAAAATACTTAATTACAAAATATACAAAATTATCTATGTAAAGAAATGTTTCACTGAGTTGTCCTACTATTACCAATCGAAAACAAAGCAATAGAAAAGTTACATAAACTTCAATTCACAATATAAGCTTCTCGTTATTTGTTTTAGTAACGAAATTTTTAGACTGCTCCATAATAATGTGTAATCGCAGTTTTCGATCTAATTAAATTTCCAGCTAACACAGATGTTTTAATAGAAATTAAAAAATAACCAGATGTTTATGAAGAATTTATAAATCCTTATCTATCGATTTTTATGAATTGCTGAAGTTGAAGAAAAGTTGTCGCATGAGCTTGAAAGGAATACTTAACCAAATCACTATAAAATGAGCTTTCAAACATGAAAATCATTTTAACATTATGCAATTTTTATGCTCCTGAAAGTTGTTAGCGACACCAAAAGTATAAGATAAAATAAAAATTTAAGACTTTTTTTTTTTTTTTTTTTTAATTCTATAGAGCATTAAAAATACAATAAACTAAATTTATTACACAAAAGCAATAATACCGTTTATGAAAAAAAAAAATGATCTTTTTCTTTTTCATAGACACGAATGAAACACAACAACGTGTTTTACAAAAACATTGGACCTATTCGCTTTCGACTAACGAAGCACTGTTTAACACAACATTATTATTTTGTTGGCGTTTGTCAGGAATACTGTTATTTATTCTAAATATTGTACGTGTATTACAAATTCGGAAAAGCATGTTTTACAAGTCTCGAATAATAAAAATCCATTCGTGAATAATGATAGACTGGCATAAATACATAACTTAACTTTCAATTATCCGTTTACAATATTTTGAATAGAAAGAAAGATTAATAATCAAGTTTTCGAATTGACTGTAAAGTTATTAACATATATTTTACACACTTCCATTATAATAAATTTCAGTTTATAATGTAAATGAATTTTTGCATGGACTACTCGCGTTTATATAATATTCTTTCGTGCGAAAAACTTTTTGCGATTGCTTTATTAAATGACAATAAGAACAAAATATTCTCTATCAATTTGATATTATTATTCTTTAGCGACTTTTTTTTTTTTTCAAGTATATACTATTAAAGAAATAACTCTGGGATAAATCAAGGAAATATTAATTTCATAATGATTAAATAATAATTTTTGTTTTACATTCATAATTAATGAAAAAGAAGATTTAATATAAGAGAAAG